TTTTCCATTTTCAAAGAATGACATTCTTGTCCTAAAAGGAACACAAGTGCTCAAGACAATCTGAATTGACACAGAAGCAGCACTCGAGACCCATTCTCAAAGAAGGTCAAGTAAAGCCCTGCTGACTTTTTCCCCTAACAATTTTAAGTTCTCAGGATGCTTATGAGACTGCCAACATCTTGCATTATCTGCAGCACCAGACTCTTTAAGTGTAAATTATTTTCCCATAATGCACTGTGGTCATTAACATTGTTGTCAAATTCTTGAACATAAAATGTTAAGTGCTCAATATGAAAAAGGATTTTAATTTATTCAAAAGCTAAATAGCTTGCAATATTTTTCCATTTCTGTGCTGATAGTCTGGTATGCAATGCAAAAAAGGGGGAAGGATCTACTGCAGTTCTGGGAAAACTGAAAAAAGCCAAGCTTAATTAGGATAAATGAAAAATACAGGTGTGACTAAATTCCACCATGATACAAGACTACATTTTCTTTTCCTGGTGTCTGAAAATGTTGGCACAAGTTCAACTTTTATTTACTCTAATAAATGTAATAGCCACATTAAAGACCTTAGTGAATGAAGCAATAAAACCACAGGCCTTGCAGTTGAAGTAATAGCCAGTTATCACTCTAAGTGTTACAACTCCTTACCCACTACAGAAGGAACTCTAACAGTTTCCTTGTCTAGATGCTTGAGTGCTTCTTGCAAGTAAGCATATAATACCAATAACTTCTTACTGATCAACTGAATACACAATAAATGTTTAAATTATCTAGCATGCTTTCAGAGTCAACTGGAAAATCAACCACACTCTTTAGCTTTGCAGGGTGAATGGCCAAGACAGAGTTGATTATGTTTGGCTGCTCATGATTATGGAGTCCATTTGAATCTTCTTTATCCTGTTATGCAAGTTTGTGCTTCAGGTTCTGGGAGAAAGAGGCCTTTTGGGCAATTGGCACAATGACTCATTAAAGCCATTTATTTAGCCATCAGGCACCTTTGTTATTTATGTAATTTCTTTAATCACATTTTCCACACAGAGAGCCTTTTGTTGTCAAGACAGACTGTTTATCAGGCTCCTGAGCCAGACTAGTCCCTTCTACCTGATGTCTCAGCTCCTTTTTATCAGTTGAAGAATGAGTATGGACATCAGAATGGAACAGAACAGAATATACAGTTCTCATAACTCAGAGTTTTTATCTTGGCCTGTTTGAAACAAGTGTTGGGGTAACTTGGTAAGCACTCATTGGAGAACAAATGACTGAAGCAACATTAACAGCTCTACAAAGTGCTCTGGACCTTTCCAAATGGTAAATGTATTTACTGATGAATACACATTAATTGAAATGGCATTTGGGCAGGGATACTTTTTCCATACAGCGTAATCTATTTTTCTTCACATCAGTGCTTATGAGTATAATGTGCACAACTGCAGATCCTTAAATATTTAATCCTCTTTATTCATTTTCTTTCTACTGCTAAGATCATAAATAAAGAGATCATACTTTTATTGACAATTTGATTAAGTACCTGCTGCAGTAAACTGAAAACGTTGCACAAACTGCTTATAGCTGTCAGTGTACATTTTATTTATATCAGTCATTCTGGAGTTTAGATTTTATTCATTCATGCGTATATCCCATTTAAGTAGGTGTATATGTATTTTCATAGAAACACACAAATTTAGGACTTCAGAAAGCTCAAGACAGCATGATCTAATTTAAATACTTACTACCTAAAAGTCCATTGCTGGTACTGGCTAGGAGAAAAGTAGGAAGCTTTAGGCATATGTGTTCTAATCAGCAACCCCTCATGATGAATAATATAGCCCTTTTGAAACTGACGTGAGATTACAAAGCATTTTGAGATGCATACAAGAACTTGTGCCTGAAAGTAAAAATAAATTTTCTAAAAAATCACTGTAGGTATGCATTAAGTAGCTCTTTGGTTCTCAGCCACTGTCAACATCTCTGACCACATACAGTTCCAGATCAATGTCTCCGTGTTCTGACCTATGATGTGTGTTCTTAAAAATAAAGATCAGAGACAGAAAATACATTTTGTCCTTTTCTAGTAGGCACTAGTCAGTGATGCTGTGTTTGAAAGAGTCAGTCTCCACTCCTTTCTTTAGTTTATCTGTCTCAAAAATTAGCCATTCTGATGAGCAACGTGATTGGGTGAAGTGAATTTTTATTGTTCTAATTTCTGCACAACCATAAATCTCTGAGAAATTTCCTCCGAAACATATTTGTGCCATTTTCAAAACAAGGACTATGACAGTTACAGTTGTGTTGCTGTATCAGTCAAATCTCCAGAACTCAGAAAATGTGAACCATTTTGAACAGCCAGGTATTAGACCCTTTGTAGTTTAGCAGAGCTTAAAGCACACCTTTCCAAAAATCTACAGCAACTGCAGCAAAGGCTGGCCTAGAATACCAAGGTCAGAAGAGGACAAAAATCTTTTAAAGCACCACTTATGAGATGCCAGTGATCTGCAGTTATATCCTGGACCTGTTCTTTCTATAATGTGTTTCATTAATCAAAGACTGAGAAAATATCTGGTTAAAAATACCTTCAAAAGCCTGTTGAAAGGAATGAAGAGCTTAGTTCACTGCACCCATTTCATAAGTTAAATTCTGGATACTGTATATCTAAAGTTATTAATCCAGTATTGCTGTCTTAAGCAGCCTTACTCAAGCTAGAGCCTATCAGATATTTTGGACTACTGTTCCATCATTTCCTGCTATCAGGACCTGCAGTCCAACATGCCTGGAAAGTGCCAAGGTAGTCCATCAAAAGCATACATATTTATGTGAGAAATGTATCTCCAAAATCTCTTATTTGTTCTTAACAGGAATGGTCACTAAGCAGATGGGGAAACTAATAAAAGACAAGAACACAGTGAATTGCAACAGCAAGTGGTTATTGTACAGTTCAAGTATCTTTCCAGAAAGACAACAAATTAAGTAGTTGTATAAGGATCAGTACCCAAACAAGCTTTTTAGCCTTTCCAATGAAAATAATCAGTGATACTCCCTTCCCAATGCACATGTTCAGAAGCAGAGAAGCAGCAGCATTACTTCAATGTGTTAAATGGCATTTCACTTGAAATACAAACCAGGCTGACCTATCCATTTGGTACAAAGAAGAGAAATGGTCATGCTGCTACTAATCAAATAGACAGATTCATTATGTTACTTCAGTCTGTAAAAAGGTTCTGTGCACACTGAACTTCAAAGCAAAAAAATAAATAAAACCCTCCCACACACAGGCAATCTGGAATCTTCCCCTGAAATGCAACCTTGACTTTGATATATGTTTATTACTTTAAGGTTAAAAATACCAAATACACTGATCAATTAGCTAAAAAGGACTTGTGTGCTTCTTCAGAGCAGGAAAGTGAGCTTCCACTTTTCTTCAGAATGAAGTACAGTTCTGAGTTCTGTATCAATCTGTGCTCACAAAAGAAATTGGAATATGTCAGGACAAAACTGATGTCCGATATTTGGTTTGTTGACTAACTAACGAGTCAGGACTCATCATATGTTGTTGAGTTCCAAGTTCCATCAGCTCTACTAACCAGGCTGACTAGTATCAACATGTTGGCAGTCAAAAATACCACATATTCTGGATAGCACAAACCATGGTTCCTTAAGTTTGTACTCCGTACCAGGTCATTGCAATATGAGGCAAATAATACTAACCCACCACCACCACCATCACCTTTGAAATTAAAGCAAGACAACACATAAGAAATGTTTTGGACATTCAAAAGCATCACACCAATGTTAATCGTTATTACTCTGCTCTGCCTGAGTTTGGAACCACCAGCTTACTAAAGTGAAGGAAACCAAACTGCTGACTAGTCCACATTAAGGTGAGTTTATGCAGCCAGACTTTAAAAAAATCAAAAACAAGAGACCTTTGTTGTAGTGCAAACTGTTGCACAATAGTCCTAAAAAAGGTCCCCCTTGACAATTTTTGTCCAGTCGTGTTCGCCTCTAGGGGGCAGTGCTCATCCCCATTTCCAAGCCATAGAGCCAGCGTTTTTGTCCGAAGACAATCCTCCGTGGTCACATGGCCAGTGCGACTTAGACACGGAACGCTGTTACCTTCCCACCGAGGTGGTCCCTATTAATCTACTCGCATTTACATGCTTTCGAACCGCTAGGTTGGCGGGAGCTGGAACAAGTGACGGGCACTCACTCCGTCACGTGGATTCGATCTTACGACTGCTTGGTCCTTTGACCCTGCAGCACAGGCTTCTGTGGTTTAGCCCACAGCGCCACCACGTCCCTACAATAGTCCTAAACTGCTTCTCAAATGACCCTGGAGATTTTAAGTTACTGAAAAAGATCCAGTCATGAAACACCAAACCTTTATCAGAAAGATATCCAAAAATAAGCATGAGCTGAAAGAATGTAATTAGAGAGCTTAGAAAAGTTCTTTTTTGCACTACAACTCCCAGCATTCTCTAGCCAACAGCTGCCAAACTGACTAAGGGATTCTGGAACCACAGTCTGAAAAAGTAACTTCACCAAGCTCCACAGTAATTACTGGTTTCCCATATTCTGACCTCATGCCGCAATTTATAGTGCAATATATATAGTACCAAAGGCCATCAAGCTATGTTTTTCAGGGACTGACTTGCACTTTGTTTATATGGGTAAAAGCAGAGGTTTATGACCAAGTGCTTGCACTGCTATACAGGCCGATAAAGAAAAAGAAGTTGAGAGGTTGCCAATGGTGAAAATATCAATTTGAAAAACTCCCACCCATTCACTCAAGGGAGACTACTGCTGATCCATGCAGAAAGAATAAGTCAGTGGATGTTTAAAAAGTACTGAACCACCACTTCACTTATAGCAACACATTTATCATTTCTACTTCTTTCTTCTGTATACATTTCTACCACCACCTGCTGGACAGAATAACAAAACAAATGAAATGGAATTATTTCACTTTTCTCAGTACAGTACTACTAAAATGTAACATTTACCTGACACCGATGCAAAACAGCTTGGGATGTGCGGAGACCATATAGTGCTATAAATGACACCTTCATGGCCTTTAAAAGTGCATAGAGATTGTGCCACTGCAGGATCCCACTAGATAAAAGAGAAACAGACAGCTCTGTGGACACTGCAGTAGCTGAAGACACAAAATCGTTTTTACTCACAGTTAAAAAACAGTCTTGATCAGAGAAATATGCATGTCTAAATTGCACACATTATAGCTGTTGTACGTAAGTCTAAACAGGTGCTTCTACATAAGGCAGAATGGAAGAAAGTGGAATAAATTTATGTTTGATCAAAATTCAGCTTTTATTTTAAATGCAGCTCTATCAACCAAGAACGTTTACTTAAGAATAACCCCTAATAAATTACTGGGATTTACTAGGTCAAATTTAACATTTTAAATATTTCCATACTCTTCTCAAGAACAAGTCAGTTTGAAGACAAAAGAATA